ATTTCAAAAAATTCGAAAATGTCTACCCAATGGTACTTTTCATTATTCGATCCTAAAACCCTTATTGGAAGCAGTCTTTAATAATAATGCTCTACCCACAACAGGGTTTCCCAAACAGGGTACCCAGGGTTTTATTTCTTTCTTTCCTTCTTTCTATTGGTCGCGACTCATTAATGGTGCGCAAGCGAATTTTACTGGGCCTTGTCTACAGAAAGAGAAATATTAATATGTCGTCTTTTTCTACGAAAAGACGCACTGACCAACCGTTCTATATATTGTTTTTCATATTGATAACGGTGGGTCCTAAGTTTGGGAACTATATTTAGATAGATCGACAATATTATAATTAATATTGTGATAATGATGCGACATTTCTCTAATGAAAAAAAAATATCTTCATACATCACGCCTTTCTATCCCCGAAGGGTTAGACAGAGGTGCACATTTCGGCACTTAATGCCACTGTACAGAGTAACACCCACTTTTCACTATTTATCTTATAAGTCCCATGTAATAGGGGGTGAGCCTATTGCCATATACCGGGCACATTTCCAAACTCCGTGCTACTACTGAGATCTTTAAAAACCCAGTAATACTTTGCCCGACCCGGGAATAGAACCCGAGACCCCTTGCCCGGCAGTTGCACTTGCGACCACTCGGTCAACGAGGCAGTCAATATCTTCAATCCACAATAAATAAAAGGCATACCTAGTAAATGTCATGTGTTACTCTAACTAAAGTCACAAAAAAAATTTGAATGACCATTGAATGAATTAATGAATGAACCGAATGATTCATTCTCAAAAACAAATATGGCCGCCTAATGGATTTAGAAGGTGACCCTCTTAAAGGAATGATGTAATCATGCAAAATAAAGACTCGTGTCCACTAGGTAACATTTGATGGGCGATATGTTGCATAAAATGTTGCTCTACAAAATCAAATCATTTATTTAAATTAAAACGCATATATGCACTTTTGTCTAAATAAATTGATCCATCGGTCTGTTCATCAGTGAAGCTAAGAAGTAGGTGCTTGTTCCACAATGTATCGATTCGTATGGAGAAAAACGAGCAAAGAAATTCTGTCATTTTTTCTTTAGCAACAATGTCTATCTCCACATGTTTTTACTCACAACAATAGTTGGCAACATATCGTCAAAAGACCGGCTTACTCTTGAAACCAATCTCAATGTCAATGCAATTCCAATCCAATAAAAACTCAATAATTATTCAATGTCAAAACTATACAACCCCAATCGTAGCTGTTAAAATAGCATTCAAAGTAAGAATATATAGACAAATTCTATACCATTTAGTTCATTCAATATCCACGCAATACGGGTGCAATGGGCGCTACTGTTGCAACTCAAGAGTACGAGATTTCACAATACCAATGTCGATCAATTGGAATTGGATTCAAGACTAAGCCCCCTGGTGTTGCGCAATTTGTCTCCGCTTTTCACCCCTTGATGCTCAACAGCATGATATATAGTATCGCTAATACTAACAATAAGTCGCACGTCATATTGGCAACGCAGTTAAACATGTTGAGCGACAATGTTGCGTCAGTTGTTGCCTAGTCGATACGAAGCTTTAATAGTTTTTTTTTTACGAGTAGTACTTACATTACATTTTTGAGGTTCTATTTTTAAATAATTACTGTAGATGGCATTACTAGTTTTTATGCGAACATTAATTAGTAAGGTAGTAATTTAAATATTTAATTTTGGAATATAAAATGTGGACCATTAAAATAAATTGAAACGATAACAGGTGAATAATGTTTCTTTTTTACCACAAGTTAGATTGCGTTATTTAGTAGATTGTTTAAAAAGTTGTGGGACTTATGAAATTACACCATTTGAGTTGATTACACTTAAAAGATAAGATTATTCAGTACTTAACTTTTTCAAAATGATTACATTATTTATTTAATATTACATGTAAAACATACATAAATAATTTTAATATTCATATTACGTCATGACCTTAAACCCATGAGTAAACAGACACAAGAAGAAACTACAGTCTACGAAATTTCGTAGCACGCCTACGAGTAAATCTCCGTAGACGCGTGCTACGTGGCTACGAACGCCTACGACGTACAATCTTAAAATATGAATAAAGCTTACACTAAATTGATTCGACAGAGAATCGAAGTTATAGACATAGCCCACAGGATCAGTAACCTGCAGCTGTAGCCAAATGCCATTTAGGGCTCGTCTACATGTAGAATAGAAAACCAAATTATATATAATTAACCTAAATTTTGACACTTGTCAGTGTCATCCCCATACATTTAGTTTTCTACTCTCTCTGTAAACAAGCGCTAAAGTGGCGTTTGGCTAAAGGCACTGAAGTGGCAGTGGGCCGGTCACTTGTCGAAGAACCGATAACCGTTGGGGTAAACGTGTTCTAGAGTGGAGACCGCGTCTAGGCAAACGTAGTGTATGGTGCCCTCTAGCTACGTGGGGAGACGACATCCGCAAGGTGGCTAGCAGCGGCTGAAGACCGAGCTCAGTGGCGTGCAATTGGAGAGGCCTATGTCCAGCAGTGGACGGATACGGGCTGGTGATGATGATGATGAAACCTTACAGTATTTATAGCACAATAGCTTTAAAAGTGACTATTGCCTTCCTTCTTTTCTTCCTGAGGAGTAGGCAAGGGTGTGTGAAATGCCTATGTTTGTGAGTCATGATAAATTACTAGATTTGGGAGGTAAACCTATTAACGCGACCTATACACACTACTTGGTATTAGCAATTTTGAAGTAAATAAAAAGACTTGTTTAAATGATTAGTTTTTGAACGTAATCTTGTAATTGTATTGTAATTGATGCAGATATTGTCAGACCACAACACCATATATTGTATATTATGATAATATATTTATTAAAAATCCCAAGACCCAAGCATCTTACATAATCTTTTAGTTTGATACTTGAGCGTCCCGAGGGAACACAGAACACGAGAGGGATTCCAATATCCTATGTTGTGATGAAATTTTAGTTTTCCCTTTATTTTGACGATAATTTTGAACTTTTGGGGTATATTGCAGCGGACACCATAGCAGCGCAACCAGTCACCTCTCCGCTATCAACAAAGTGTATACAGTTCTATAATGTAAACGAACAGAAAAATCACCTACGGTAAACGATCGGCGCCGCCCATAGACATCCACAACACCAGAGGAGTAGGAGAAAAAATAGACGAATAAATTAATAATTGCAGCAGCAAGAGTCAAAAGACTGGCACAGGGTGTACTTTTTCGTTGATGACACATAAGTCATTGTATATATTTTTCTGATAACTCTTGGAACCTTAAGCAATTGGTCGCCAAAAAGCCGCCCATGGACACCTGAATCACCAAGGCGTTGCAAGTGCGTTACCGGCCTTTTGGGAACTAGAAATTTGAGGATTGTGGAGGATTCGAGATTGGGGAGAATGGGGAGGGGGGTCATTGGGCCTATGGTAACCTCACTCACATGACGTTAAACATGTGAGGTCGTGGTCCAGCCGGCCCACTTGTGCCGAAGCATGGCTGGCTCTCCCACACTTAAAAACTCGGTCACTTAAGGTTCAGATTAATCAAAGACAGCTGGTGCCCGGTTTCTGTCCAATGTGTAGTTACTTAATCGGCTGTTACGGCACCCGCTTTCGGGATGAGTAGGGGTAGCGACAAATCTATTCCACCCTGCCGTTACCATTCGGCACAACGACAAGATAAAGCTTAAATTAATTTAATTTTAATTAAAACAAATATGTACGAGTAATATTTTATGTTATAAGGTGGCGATCGTAAATCATCCGAGATTTAATTCCGATTAAATGTTTTGGGATAATGTTCCACTACTTATGTAACGAATAAATCCAATGAATATAAATAAAAATGAATTTCCAATCGTTAGTTTCGCTATAACTCGAGAACAGCTGCACTGATTTGGCTAATTTTGGTCTTGTATTACTTTTGGAAGTCCAGGGTAGGTTTTAAAGGTTAAAAAAAAATTAAAGGCGGTGCGAAGTTTGCCCGTTCAACTAGTTACGAATGAAATATGTATTATACAGTTTCGTGTTGGAAATTGTTGAAAATATTCAATAAATTGTTTAGGTAGAATTTTAAAAAAGTACATCCTTTTAACGAAATTACCTATGTAAGGAGATATCAGTTATTTAAAAAAAATCGTGTTTCAAACGTACTCAGCAATATCAGTAAAAGCTCATGGATAAGTCTATAAACCTTACTGTAAAAATGGTAGCTTCAATATTCCTCCTACCACCACCCAGTAATAAAATAAATTAAGAAAATAAGTACATAAAAAATTCGGTTTTATAGAAACAAATAAAATACAATAATCAGTAATTATTAAATCGATGACAGATGCAGCAACATAGACTAAAAATCCTTTACACGCATCTAAAAAAAAACAATTTCTTTTAAAAGCCGAAGCTTATTCATTTTCAAGTCTCATTAATCAAACTGTTCATGAAATAATATTTAGCGGAACGACTATTTCATGAACCTTAACTCAAGTGCGTAACCATTGTTATCTTAACTACTTGTAACCAAGAAAGCCGTACTTGAAATATAAAAAGCTAATTGTTCAAACACTCGTTCGACACGTTAATTAAAGATCGTAGCACGCGATAGCACAGTTCTTAATTTGATTTTAATTAAATTTACCTATAAAAACACGTAAACTGTGTAACAAAGGAAAACGTATAAAATACGATGAACATAAATTTAGCTTTTTAACCATTCGACGCCTAAAACAAACGCAACTCGAATTAACAACATCATAATTCAGGCCGTATAGAAAAATATTGATGCTGGATAAAAAAAAACTAGAGAAATAATTCAATTTTGGAACACAATTTTCCGATGGTATGTATATTCTCAACTTTTTGTAACATCGTTTTCTTTTGGAAAAATAACAATGAGAATGTAATAAATCGCTGCCAATATTTAAATATTACGAAATATAATGAAAATTGTACTCACATAAACATATTAACTTGACCAGCATCGTAGTAGTTACGTCGAACACCGACAGGAAATTTTTCTGTACTATGCGATAAACCATTCCGATCTCCTTAGCTACGGTATCACTGACTAACTAAACACACGCGCTTTATATCATCTATTCACGAACTTTGTGTAAACGAATTCCGCGTTAACATTAGTCGCGGAAGAATTTGGCATGAACTCGATACATCTGATGTTCTTTTGGTAACTGTGGCTCCTGTTTCTTATTTAATAATTTTTATACTGAGCTCAACTTGATCAAATGGCAGACATGTTGTATTTGTGACGTCATGGCGGGGGAAAATCAATTCTTTAGCGCCTGCGCAAAGTTTCTCCTTGGCCTATTTAGCAACGCATCCCGACCATGACAGAATACATTTAATAAATGTAACCTTTCACAAAATGGCTGACATTTTTATGAATGAGTCGCTTTAACTCATTCATTTCATGTTTAGATGTTTACTTATTGTGATTAAATGGAGATGGTTTAAGCTTTCGTTTTGAAAATTTTAATATTTAAGGAATATGGAATCTTAATGGATGACCACAGATGAGTGTTACGTGAACGTCTAAAAGTTGACTTTCCTTATGTATTGTTTTATTTAGAAGGATTTCATTATGAACATCTTGAAGTAAATTACTTAATTACTGCGGATAACTATGTCCTTAATAGTCCTTAAAGTCATTTGGTAGGTAAGTTAATTGTTCATTTAATTTTTGAAGCGGAAACAGCCTTTTCACTTTGGGTACAGCTACGCGGAGGTGTACTGTTTCATACACCACGCTTGCTCCGCATGTGATAGTGAGCGTCGCGCGCCATGTAGACTGAGATTATTGATAACACGCGACTCCTCTATAAACCCTACAGACCATGTACGGCGTGCTCAGTATCCTGGTTACTGTGAAAATCCTTATCCTTTTCCTTACTTCCTTATCCTTATCCTTACTTCCTTACTATATAATATTATAAATCGAAAAGTGAGTTTCTTTGTTTGTTTGTTTGTTCCGCTTTCAAGCCGTAACTACTAAACCGATTGCTTTGAATTTTTGCAGACGTAAAGTTAGAAGTCTGGATTAAATAATAGGGTACTTTTTATCCCGGAAAAATTGATATTCTCGAGGGAAAACGAAATTATTGGTATAGATGGCGCTGTGTGTATTGGTATATGTCACGTAGGTACTTTTTATCCTTTTGTGACGCGAGCGAAGCCGGTAAAAGCTAGTAAAGGACAATAAATTAAAAAGGTTGAAAATATGATGTCAAAGCGTCAGCTGATTTTTGTTTCGGTGACATTGATTATTTTGAAAAAGTAAGGATTTAACTAGTCGAGTACCGTCATTATAGACACAATTATAGAACAATAGGTTGCGGTCACCGGTGACCGGTTGGTGTTTGACAGTTTAAATGTTTTGTGCAATAACATATGTAATTAAGTACCCAAGGCTAATGCTACATAACAAAATCGATTTTTTTTATTAAAACGATAATAATAAAAGTCGTTTTTTTTTGTGATATTCGATTCGTTATCATCAGAATTAGCACCGGTCTTCGTTTACGGGAGCGGTTTTTTTACACCCTGTATTTAGCGTAATAAGTTTGGTAATTATAAAGAAATAAATTAAATTCTCTTGTTTTTTTTTCACTGAAATAAGGACAAATATAGAGTTTATTACAACATGCGATTCTTTTTACAATTTCTCATTCATTTGTTTTAGGTTCACGGCAACACATCAATCTATACATAACCAGTTTATCCTGGTATCGCGTCGCATCATCTTTCCACACATTTAACGTTCAGTTTATAATGGTTATTAAAGCTCGATGTGTAGCCGTATGTACGTATCATAATTTGGAATAAAGATTTGTAGAGAATACACAAAGGATCGTTCCGTGCTATCAAACCCGCGACACATTGCAAAGCAGCCGGTTGTTAATATCCACCAGTACGTACCATGATAATGCGTTTCAAATTGCAGTTTATACTTAGATAATCAGGTCATGATGCGGAGCAAGGGGGACTGGGATACTGTTGATTGCTGGCTGCTAGCTGGATTGCTAGCTAAGGAGGAGGCGGGACGCGTGAGGCAGCGATGCGCTGCCTCCTCGCAACCCAGCTATCGCGAAGGACACACCGGGCGTCGGGGATCGCGGGACGATGTCCGGCCATCGTAAACGCGGGCCTGCGGACGGCGAGCATGGGTGGCACCCCGTCCGACCAGAAACAGACCCGAGCGTACGGCGCGTCGCGTTCCGCGCGAGCCTCAAAGAGCCATCAGACCACCACAGATGAGGCCCAACAGGGCCGATGCCGATTCGGAGTCGCGGAGAACCTAACGGGTTACCGAGACTCCGGCTCGACGTGCAGGAGAAGGAACGGGGTGGTTTTAAGTCAATAAGAGTCTGACACTCCCTCCCGCCTCACCCAAGCGGGAGCAGCCACCCGATGATTTTCCCCCTTAAAAAAAAATGCTTATATTGGTAATACAAAATAGATTTAGTTCACATGATCAAATAGGTATCAGGGAAATGGAAACAGAGGTTATTTCCTACCTAGTTCCATCTGATACTCCACTACCTTCGCAATCTGGTAGGTAATGTGTCGGTAAACTGCAATTTAGTTTCAAGGCTTGTGTAATATCGCTGTATCGTGAAGCAATACCTACTCATTATTGTATATTTCTAGCTTTTAACCTTCATTACTAAGAATAGAAATTAAGTAGGTATACATGTTAGTTCAGTCATTTGGTAGGGAGGGATCAAGACGTCGCAGATCAAAATTTCGCCCGGATTATTTGCGATTTCATTGCAAGCATTTTCGTTTTAAAATAACGACTATTTTTTATATTTAATGGAGCTACGATTGACCACTATCTCGCCTGGTGGTAAGCGATCATGCGGTCTACGATGTAGCACGTCGTCCCATAAGCAACCTTTTCACTGGGGCGTTGAAGACTCCCTCCCGCCTCAGCCAGGCGGGAGCAGTCATTCGATGATTTTCCCCCCTTAAAAAAAGAAATACATATAGGTATATTTGAAAACTTATACTTACTTACATATAAGTAACAATAATTAAATTAAATACATGCTCAATTTGCCTATTTTCCAGTAAACATTTAGCTACATTCTGAACAAATATGACTAAACAAACTAGTAACTACCACGTGTCGAGTTTTCAATCAATCATTGTAGCGTTTTGTGGGTTTGACAGCTTTCCACAAAGGAGGTTAACTGAAACTGAGCCGACGCCGTGTCAAATTTCAGTGTTGGTTCTGAAGCAGGAAATGCCTATTTACCACTTTACCTATAATATTTTTACACGAGCATTTGATTTTTATCTTTCGCTGCGTCATTGGTCGAGCTGTTGCAACTACCGAGCAAGGGATGTCGGGATTGATTATACCTAATAATACCTATGGCTATAAGCCATGCCATGAGCATTACTAATTTTTGGAAAATTTGTCAGTTGGTACTTAATAAATAATAATATTGAAATATTATATAGAAATAATTTCACTTGGATAAGTAAAGTAGGTGAGTAGTGTATCTGTGTAATTTGTTCAGTCCACCTCTGTCTACCACTTCGAAACGAAAAATAAGCATGACGTTATATTACACAGATAGGTACAATTAAGTGTAGTAAATCTATTAATTATCATTTCGTCTTACGTTTTCAGTCACTGACTTCCTTCCCGACCCCGACAGACTTCCTGGCTATTCCTTAGCGTCAATTCGTTCCAAACTGCCAAAATGAGAGTATTTCCTAAAAATAAAAAATAATGACGATCAAACTCATTTTACATAATTAAAGAAGTAAAAAAAACTAATTAATTAACGATGCTAAAAAATGTTTTTTTTTTTAACCGGTGGCTATTAATGACTGAAAAATAATCAAATAATATCTCAACATATTTTATTATTTTCATCTATTAAAAAAATCTAAATTTCTGAGAATTGCCTGTGTTACTTTCTTTCACTCGTTTAGTTGCTTCGCTACCATGGAATGTCAAAATTATATTATTTCCTAACTTATTTTACAAAATATAGAATGGTTCTGAATAAATTTTGTTAATTAATTAATTTGTTAATTAGTTAATTAATTAATAAAGTACACCGTGAAATCAACAATCTGCATGTGTATTCACATTTCTTTTAGTTTCACTTTTTTGCTTTATCGAAAATGTTTCGACATTTTGACACATGTCGCGCTGTCTGAGTTGTTAGAGCAATATCAAAACGTTCAATAATAACAATAGAGCATGTGAAAAGTTATTATCGCTTTTCATACTTTTAAATAGTTTTATTCAGTGAACGTGAAAAGTAATAACTCGTATTTGTATTAAAGATGTCTTTAAATCCATTAAACGGTGAGTAAAGTGAAATGAAATTATAATCATCCTTTTTAAAACATAACCTCAAACTGTATAAAATGTTTAAAGTTTCTTCATGAATATCTATGTAACTTATATTTTTAGTGGTATTTAAGTAATAGAATGGTACTTTATAGTGTTTTTCCTGTGATTACGAGTTACAAAAGGTGTTTTCTATCAGAAATAACCTTGAAATACCTGGTTCCCTTTTACCTACTCTTTAACCATGAGTTCTAATTTCTGGCACATTTTGTCTTCAATCTTCAATGTATAGGTATAAAACATGATATAAAATCACAACTTTAATTATAACTCTTGATAGCAGATGGCGTTAAAGTTTAAAATATCTCCAGCACCTCGGTCTCAACAGATTTTCTACTACAAAAAGTACATTTATAACTATTATTTTCTGTAAAACTTAATACTATTATTTCCAGAGCTAAAACGTCGGCTAGACGATGACAAAACTCCTTTGCCAAAAAGATTGTGTTTGGCTAAAAATGTGGTGCAATCCCACCACTTCCCGACTGGACCTAAAGAAAGAATTGTGGCTGAATGGCTTTGTGCCTTGACCTCTAGAAATAGGCTGAGCAGTGAAGAGCTGAAGAGTGTTCTTGATTGGTTGTCTGTGGCTGATGATTTGACAAGTGAATTGAAAAGTAAACTGATCCAGGTATGTTTAAAATTATTATTACTCTACTCCTAAAGAAGATCACCAATTCATGGTAGATGTACCACCCACACGCACAAACCGCTTCACATCAAGCTTCCTTGCGCATACTGCTAAGGAATGGAATCCTTGCCAGAGTCCGTGTTTCTTAAAGGTGTTTTCAAAGCCCAAGTGACTAGGTTGCTTATGGGTCGACATGTTCCATCGTAGACCGCATCATCGGTTACCACCAGGCGAGATAGTGGCCAAACATAGGCCCATGAAATATAAAGAAGGAAAATATTTGTTAAAAAAACTAATAGCTGTAACTTGTAACTTGCAAATGTAATTTATAGTAACACAGCTTTCTGGGGGACAGAGAAATTAAAACAAAAGTTTAGTGACTTTTTAAATTAATTTATTCAAAATATAATAAAACAAATTTACTATCAGCATATGAAATCTCAAAACAGTTCATTAGTTTTAATTTAAATTGTGATTCATTTAAAATTCCAGATCGTAGCAGAATTCACACAAAGGAATCCATTACAAACAGTAGAAATACGATACATATCAACATTCCTAGAGAACCCTAAAATATTACCACAGTTGAGCTTACAGACGGACGAATACCTTACGATAACAATCACACTACTACAACATTTAAAAAATGACAATAATACACAAATCAGCCAGAAAATTCTAAACAATTTTATAAAATATTACCGAGAATCTAAAAAGAAATTAGATTTTATCATAAAGTTCTTAAATGGAGAAAACTTAGAAACAATATTCAGTTTTCTCGACACAGATTGCCGTAAAACTGCTATAGATGTATGTCAAAATATTCTGTTTCCGATCAATAAGAAGACTTTCTTTATCAGTTTCCTACAAACTTTAATAAGGAAGGATAATTTAGAAGAACTGATTGCGGAGAAAGGAGACAATATACAATCAGTCATCAAAATAATGAACACATTCTTTGAATTCCCAAGAAATCGGTCCGATAATGATACATTGTTCTTACACAATTTTATTGATGTCTTTGTCAGTTCTTTCCAAAAAGAAAATCAGATTATCTTTGCCTTTTACATTATGGTCACTAACGTTTTAAATATGGAACAGAGTTTTATCGTGCCAGCTATGAATTTACCACCAATTTTAGAAGATGATGCAAAAACTAAACGATTGCTATTTTTAAATATGCTGGAGGTTTTATTACGTAATGAAATCGATATAAATGTCCGCCTAACTGATACGTTTGGCGAGAAAATATCAAAGGTTGAGATCAAAAAGAATTTCACTTATTTTCTTCAAACTGTGATGATGGGGCAGCTGAAATTGGAAGGGAAACTAGACAAAACTACATTGCAAATAATTAAAACTGCTTTAAAACTTGATCCTGTGTTAATCGAACAAAAAATTGATACAATTTTACCACCAATAATGACTGCAAAGAAGAATAGCTCTAGTTTATCAGAATCTTACACAGAAACAATAAATTGTTTATTAGAAATCCTCTTCAAATTAAGTAGAGGAACAACATTTTTAACTCAAATCCTACCATCGGTAAAGAATATTTTGGAAGCTGGCAACACTGAGCAGTTTGAATTGAAACAAAAGGTTTTGGAAGCAAAACAAGATGGCGTTGATTGTGAGAAAATAGAGGGAAAAATAATTACTGGTTCCGATTTGTTTCCACGAGAATGTGTGACTTTGTATGGGAAGTTGACTTCAGAATTGATGTTCAGACAGAATAAGGAACTTTTGGAGTCATTGCAGAAAGACTTTGAAGTACATTGCTTGATGATGCTTGAAGAAGGGTTTGTCAGTAAGTATAGCCTTTTTCAGTCTTCTTCTGCCTGCTTTTTCTTTTACATAACTCAGGGATTTCTTTTTCCTAGACTTTGATGATCTGCTTGCAAGTTGCTTGCGTTGACTGCACGGTTGGCGTGGTAGCTGGGCAACTGGCTGCCACGCAATGAGTCACGGGTTCGATTCCCGCACGGAACAATTCTTTGTGTGATCCACAGATTGTTATTCCGGGTCTGGGTGTGATGTGTATATGAACTTGTATGTTTGTAAACGCACCCATGACACAGGAAAAAATCCTAGTGTGGGGCAACTTTTTTAAAAAAAAGCGCATGTTTCAAATACGATTTCTGTGGTTTTATCTACTGGTGTTGTCGTGGGTAGAATTTTAATTTGGACCCTCCGCTAAATAAAATAGGGTTTAAAGTTATGCTTCGTTTTTGACATGCTCATAAACTGTTTATTAGAACTACTGCTAGTTTACAGTAAAGGGTGTGCTGTAAATACACGTCGGAAATCTTTAAAAAAATACCAAGCATCATGTTATCAAATCATCCCATCGTAATTTATCAATATATTCCTAATTCTCTTCCAGGTCCTTCAATAATAACGCTAACGGAAGTACTGTCCGCCATTTTGTCGTCCTTCCTCCAACAGAACAAGATGGCGGACCACACAGTCCCGCTGAACATAGCTGAAGGATTCTGGAATATTTACTCTAAGTTCGAAACCGATTGCCTAGCTAAGTTCGGAGTATGTGTATTGAAACTTAGTTATGTGAGTAAAATATTTTTATTCTTAGTACCTTTATGCTAAGGCTTTGTAGCCCAAAAGAGGATCTTACCCTTTTTTCTCTATTTTTTTTTCGTAGAAATTTCGAACAATCGTAATGTACAGTAATAACACTTCAATACAGGGTACATACATAACTTCACAACTGTCTCCCATGGGGGGAGGCAGAGACTATGGAACGCCAATTGCTACGATTCCTTCTTTCAGTACAGGATAGTGTTAATTATCTATATATGTATTAGATATAGCTATCATGTGTGATATGTTTTACTTCTTCTTTGGTCATATGCTCGCTTGATAAAAGCAACACTAACTTGACAAGAGAAGCTACAATTTCGATTGATTTTAATTTTTTTGTGAACATTAGGTTACTACTGCGTGATATCCTTTTGTGATACAGTTCTAATATAAACCACTTTTTAATTTCCAGAATCCACCTCTTGTAATATCATTCCTGAAGTTATGTCAAAGTTTCGCTCAACTAAAGTTGTTGAACATAAAGTATAGTAACGTGAAACTGGACATATCTCCTGGTAGTGATACATCGGAGGTTTTTGATCTTAGTATGTTATTACCGTGCTTGAATAGCCAGCAATGGATTACACTCGCTGAGAAGATTCAGGATGATGAAGCTGTCGTTTTTTTGGTAAGTTTGATTCTCTGATTTTTAGTATTGTTTTATCTACAGAAACGACAAAAAGGTTTCTCTAGCCAAACTATGGGACACTGCTTAGGTTCCTGAGTCGACATAAATACTTTTTCTATTTTTCAATTCTCATTAAAGCACAATCTCTAGAATTAGCCTTACGTTACATAAAACTCATACGTAACTTTACTAGACGTCCCGTTTTGAATAGGACTGGCCCTTTTTATAATTACGAGTCCCGTTGTCTCCGAAATGAACTCTGGGACTGAAAATTGTCTCGTTTTTGGAAATCACGCGAAAATTTGAATGGTTCGAGTAGTGTGCGAGAATGATACAACCTCATATATAACTCGCTAATTTTTGACGAACTATAATCGAATCTAAATAAACAATTGTCCCGTTTTGAGTCAAAAAATTAATGGTCATGTTACTCATACGTCTATTAGCATTTCTGTTTCGTTAAAAAAATATGTCTTATTTTCAGAACAATCTACTTTTAGCCAAAACATTGGCCCTCCAACTATTGTCAGTAAGCAACCAACAAGAATACCCAACAATTACTGCAACAAAGACACATTTGATCAAACAAATTGCCACCAACCCAACACTGCTACAAGACACATATTTCTGCAAAGCATTATTCACTGGCTTAGAAAAATCACACATAAAGACATTGACCAAATGTTTGATCAAACTTTGCTTGGACGACTCTGAGTTAGATGTACTAAGAATTGATGCAGTGGCAAACAATAGAGAATTGCTAAACATGTTGGTATTGGAAACAGCTAAAAATATAGCTAGAACCTTTGAAAACGGTGAATCCTTCAGCAAAGTGTTAGGCAAAACTGATTTCAATATAATTTCATATGGAAAGGAAGTATCCTTAGTGGAATACTTCAATGACATAACTATAAATCCTGAATCACAAGATATATTGAAAAACTCTGTAAATATCTTCAAACAATTACCAATCCATTACTTGGAAGAAAACTACCAATTAGTAGCAATTTTTGTTATGCTGGCAATAAAGAAATGTTCAACTGTCAAAAAACTGAAACGTAGTATAGATTATGTACTACAAAGCATATACGAATTGAGTTTACAGAGACCGGACTTATACCAATTATTCCCAGCCGATAACATATTTAATTTCAAGGATAATTCTCTATTAGAATTACTGACATTAAGAATTAAAACGCCTAACACTTTGCTTATAATCAAAAGCTTGTTAGAATTAGCTGTGAAAAAGGTTCGAGTAGACAGTGATCAAGTGAAAAATATAGTTGAAAAGTTATTAAAGAAGAATAAGAAGTCTATTTCTGATATAGAATCTTTCAACGATCCTGTGTTCCAAATCACTTGTCTGATACTCCCATCAATAGTAAAGCAAAAGAAAGCTATAACCGCAAGTGCATTCCGATCAATACTAGCCGATCTTCAAGAAAAGCTACACAAATCTCTACTAGAATCGTTTAAAAACATTGATTTTGGCAATAGTAGTTTTTCATTTAACAATACTGGTAGCACTGAAGATAGTGTTGTGCAATCGGAGAGTAGTGTGGCAACATTGAATGCTATGGTTGCTTATTCGTTGACTCTTTCAAGGTATTCCGAAAATCCGGATGGGGAGGATGCCAAAAATTTGGACTGTTTATTAACTGCTTTGGAGTTCTTCGTACAAAACGCTGTAAGTATTAAACATTTTCTTAATTAGTTGTACATAATTCAGAAAACCCACAATACAAGATTGTTTCATCCGAATTTGGCACAAAATAAAAGTAGTTCAACTACTGTGTCTGCTGAACACGAGGGCCTGTGTTCAATCCTCGGTCCGAATATAATATTATTGAACTTTCCATATCTGTACCTTTAACTGCACCCTGTATCTAGCTTGGGAACAAATTCACTATTGAGTGTTAAGGTAATGTGAGTTTTTCCCGAACAAAAGGTGGCTTTTTATCAACCGGCTTAGAAAATGGAGTAAGCTAACAGTGTATTTTCTATGTTTAAACGACTTACTTCTGGCTAAACGATAACTTTAATTACCACTCTCCTGTCAATTTACAGATAAAAACAACAGAAAATCCAGACTCGAAGCCTCAACACATAGACTCATCAATCCAGCTTCTAAACGTTGTTCTACGGCGCATGAAGAAACTAGAAACTCACTCAATATTCCAAGAAAAAGACAAATTATTCCTTCAAATATGGCGTTGTATAAAAACTCGCTTAATTTTAGAGCAAGATAAGAAAACAATAAGTGGTAATAGTTATGAAGAAGTCGGTACAACATTGAAATTACTGTGTGAATTATCTTCAGTGGATTGTTATTTGACCAATTTCGTCAGTGATCTCAATAATTTGGTTGTTTTGAAGGTAATTATGTTTTTTGTTATTCGTTTTTGAGTTATTTGGTAGTCCATGACTGGTAAAAAAGTGTCCTATTTCTGTAACATAACATCACGCCTTTTATCCCTTAAGGGGTAGGCAGAGTTGCACACAGAAGTAACAACCTCTTTTCACTATTTATGTTATGAGTCTCATGTAATAGGGGCTGAACCTATTGCCATATACCGGGCACATTTCCAGACTCCGTGCTACGACTGAGATTTTTTTAAAAAAACCTGGTAAACCCGACCCAGCAATCGAACCCGAGACCCCTTGCCCGGCAGTCGCACTTGCGACCACTCGGCCATCGAGGCAGTCCTATTTCTGTTATTCTATTTTTATCTTGTTTGTTGTCTGAAAACTATTTAAAACAATATCTTTGGCTAACGTAGGTCACTATTATCGTATGCGGTGATACTGACTTGTTGGTCGAATAACATTTGCAATGACTGCACGGTTGGTGCGGTGGCTGGGCAACTGGCTGCCGCGCAACGTGTTGCGGGTTCGGTTCTCGCACGGAGCAACTCTTTGTGTGATCCACAGATTGATATTCCGGATCTGGGTGTCACGTGTATGTGAACTTGTATCATTGTATGTATGTAAACGCACCCACGACACTGGAGAAAATCCTAGTGTGGGGCACCGTTTATTTAAAACAATACAAATCAAAATGAGCAAACGTAACTGTCGGATGGTGTTTGCCGACTTGTTCCTAGAACCATAATACTGTATTAAATGCTATTCTGATTTTAATGTCCAAATACTCAAACGTTACTCAATTTTAAGTAGCGCTTAAGTATAGTTCTGTCACTACAATTTTCTGTAAAATGACAGAGATGGCACGATATTTAAGTACTAAGTACTTAAAATTGAGTACCCTTTCAGTATTCCAGCGTTAATTCCGTGTAGTGATAAAAGTCATAACATTACTAAAAAAAACTGTAAAAAAATGCACAGTACTCTGTCTTCTTTTTTATATTATGTAATTATATATTGTCAATATTTTCAGAAACCGTCTCAACAAAAAGACAACAGCGCAGAGATCAAATCTCGCAAAGTTTTCAAATTCCTATGGTCACAATGTCTCAAAGCGAACATCGTTGGCCCCAAATGTGTTGCCATGTCAAAATTAATGCACCGCACTTGTAAGAATTTGAGGAATTGGATGAGGCAACACTATGACTACGAAGACAGTGTTGCCAGAGTAAATGAAGATATTTCTACCGAAGATTTAATTGTGAAAGTTATTAAAGTAGATGATGATGTTTGTGAAATTGTAAGATTGGACATAGATGCGTTGTCGGAACTACTTTTGGCGGCTAAGAAGGTATATTTTTAGTAAATGTAAAAAAATATTTATGTATTTAGTAGTCTCAGGCGCTGCTAAGCTGAGCTCTAGGATTCGAATTCGATTCGTGAGTCGAACATTAGCCATTGAAAATGTAGAATTTGTGTATTTCAATTTCAAAGTGTAATGATGGAGTTTCTTGCTCGTTCTTCTCGCATTCGAAACCACACTAGAAAGAGCACCTAGCTTTCCTAACAATAAAAAGCCGCGGTGAACTTAACGGGTTACCGGGGCTCTGGCTTGACGTGCAGGAGTAGGAACAGGGTGGTTTTTAGTCGGTAAGAGTCTGACACTCCCTCCCGCCTCGCCCAGGCGGGAGCAGTCATTCGATGATTTTTCCCCCCTTAAAAAAAAGCTTTACTAACAATTCACTTTGTCACAAATATCTCTGTCTGTCTGTCAGTGAAGCTAGGCGTACGTAACACGTAAGAACATTTAAATAATATTTTTTATTTCCTTTTCCAGATATCCTTAGACTACAGTTTCGTGGACGTCACATTCGAAGTACAGCACTTAATACATTATGTACTAAGTAATAAATATAATTTGAAGTTCGATATATCCTGGGAGGCATTCTTCATGTTATTTGAGGGGTGCGTCACGGTACTAAATAATATGTTGCTGGCTAGAGAAGAGGTTTTAGAGGACAGGTATGTTACGAATTTCTTTTTTTTTTCGAGTCTCCAAAACGAAGTTGTCGACTATACTGCCAGTGTCGAGTATTATGTTAAATAAGGACGTTGAAAAAAGGCTGCCATAATATCACTTAGAAATGATCGAAGCAGCAAAATGTCAGTGCGTGTGAGTGGGTGTTTGTATGTGTGTAATGGATTACCACGTTACCTGACTTCAGAAAATAACAGATGTCCTTCATGTCAATGTGTGTATTTTCTGTGTGTATATAGTAACCAGTGCCTTTAGCCAAACGCCACTTTAGCGCTTGTCTACAGAGAGAGTAGAAATCAAAATGCATGGGGATGACACTGACAAGTGTCAAAATTTACATCAATCCCATATAATTTGGTTTTCTATTCTACATGTAGACAAGCGCTAAATGGCATTTGGCTACAGCTGCTGGTGCCACAGTCGTTGTTTCAAGAGACCGTGTCCGCATAATTTTCAACTTCCTTAATTTTAAAATTGCAATGGAGAGCCAGGTTTTGCCATGAATAGGCCATCTCGACCGCAGTGTTGCCAAGCTTTAACAGAAAGTAGGTGTGAAACAATTACAGCATTGTATGCAGCCGTGAGAGTTGGTTACTGGAAACTTCACACCGTCATATTCTGGCAACGCACTTGTATCTCTCTGATGGCTTGCCTACTTGTTTGCTAAAAATATTGCAATTCACTTGAATTTTTCTCCTGTGTCAGACTTGAGAGCGACAATACAAACATGTATTTCTCTACTAACGTATCTAAACAACTTAAAATGAATAAACGTGTCTTTTAATTGTAAATGGTTGAATTTCAGATGGCCATGCTACATGCAATGCTACAGAGCGCTTATTATATCGCTCTGTGAACGAGCGACGTCACACGCCCAGCTAGAGAGGAGGATCGAAGAAAAACTCGCTGAAATGGCGCATTCTATTGAGAAGTATGTAATCAGATGTTCATATTATATTGTGTGTTTTTGCTTGTAGAACTGATGGATAGTTTTTAATTTTCATACCCCGTCATCATCTCTATTAACCCAAAACCCCCATCTGGATTGAACCCGAGACCCTATGCTCAGCATATATTTGTGATCAATTCCGAACTCATAATAAATTAATAAAAAAAAAACCCGATGAGGGAATCAAACCCCAATCTAATACTCAGCAGTCACATTTGTGACTACTCCACCTACAATACAAAAATAACGTTATTTTGACTTTTTTTTTCAGAATTACCCAATCAATAAGCAAGCGTAAGAAGCACGTCTCAAGAATAGCAGCCTACACGGTAGCAGATCTTTGCACCTCCCTAGAAAGGAATGCGCCAACTAAAATGGTGCGACAACATCTAGAAAATTCCGTAGCCCTACTCATTCAGGCGTGTGATAGTACCTACGCTATGTCCTTCTTGAAACGAGGTCTTGTTGGCTATGTCGGACAAATGACAATGACCAATTTGTACACTATGTATAAGAGGTACCATAAGTATATGGGGAATTCTTAAAATTATATTACATTATTGTTATAAAAATAAATAGTCTATATTTCTATATGAACTGTCTGAGAATGTAATAGGAATTGAAAATGGTTTGTGAACTATAATGAAACCTTGATAATTTGTTTAAAAAAAACACCATGAACTGTCTAAGAATGTAATAATAATTAAAAATATTGTGGCCCCAGTCATGATAATTATTCGCTAATAAGCATGAATACACAATATCTGTGTCTTATTAGAATAGGGCCTACATTGAAAAAAAAAAACTAAAATCATCTGATTGAAAAATGAACCAATGATATTGTCTTGCTGTATTTTTTTTATGTTTTACCAGTGGTAATCCTGTACATTTTTATTATTGTTAAAATGTTCATCAAGTTTTTTTTAATGCTACGACGGTGGCAAACAAGCACACGACCCACCTGATGGTAAGTGGTTACCGTGGCCTATGTACACCTGCAACACTTAGGGCATTACATGCGTCTTGCCGACCCTTAAGAAATCTATCCACCCCCCTCTTGAAGAACCTCATGTTGTAGTCCACTGGGAAAACCACAGCAGGGAGTTCATTCCACAATCGGAGGGTCCGTGGGAGAAAATTCCACTGAAACCAAACTGTACGGGACCATTTGGGCTCCAATGTGTGAGCGTGAACTCCCTGCCGATGGCGAGCGGTGCGATGATAGAAAGTTTTATTTGTATTCTGTAGGAAGGTTGGATCCCCAATTACTTAAGAATACCAAAAAATTATAATTTAAAGCTGAGATGTAAATGTAAAAATATTCTTTATTGTGCTCCATAATACGGAACGTTTTTTATTTTAAGTCTCTTAATTAATATGACATAATCTAGTAAAATAAAACAAGTATTTTTTAATAATTTTTATTTACTTAAGTTTCTTGTTTACTTACCCCATGCCCCTTAACTATAAGATTAAAATGATGCATTGTTAAATTTACCTAAAGCTGAAACACTGGAACACTAAACTTATAAACATTAGTTAAATCGTGTATTTTATTGAACTAAGAACCTATCTGCCAAATATCAATACTGTTCATTATATATACAGGTAACTAAGTAGGATTCCCATACATACATACTTACATACAATCAACAAGTCAATGATTTGCAGAAAAACATGTTTACAATTTACACAATACTAAGCAATATATCCGTGACAAAATGTTCCAATCATCTCTAATCTCCGAGTAACAGAAAATCGCAAGTCCCTTATCAAGTTCTCAACGATGATTTTCTGCACAATCATAAAACATCACTACCTAATATGGTAGCAAACAAAACTCAAATAACAAAATGTCATTCACTGACTAACATAGTAAAAAGTATATACATAGTTGTTATCTATTATTATCATACAGTTAACGAACTTTACGACGAAATTATTTACGAAAATCGCGCGCAATTTCATATGTCATTTGCGATTTTGCGACTGTTTCCGTCAGTCCGTATATGGGCATTTGTTGAATACTAAATTCTGATTGGCTGACACGCTGTCGTCATCAGTGACTCACTTTTTAAAGTTGATAGTATAAAAGTATTTCTATACGTGCCTTTACAAAGTGGCATGTATTCTGATATCTAATCTTGGTTACATTGGAGTGACTTTTATTTATCAATAACATTTTTATTTGAAGACTCAGTACATATTATCGCGTACTTCAACAGAGTTGCTAGTATAGTTTTCTGAAAGTTGCCACCTTGCGTTTGCAACTTTTAAATGAAAAATTCTTATTAGATCGTATTTACTACCGAAAATTTTACGAAAAATATAAAAGTGCAATTTACAATTACTCTGTTTGTGCCAGTTTATGTGAATTTGTCGTAGTTATAAAAGGACACTGTATTGATTTTGTCAATCAGTTTGACGCATGCGCTCATTGGGTGCCGTAAAAAAGGGTTGGCCAACATTCCGAACAGTGTCGTTCCGGTCGCCGTTGTCGTGGTGTCGGTGAAGTTAGTGGTGGAATTTTTACGTGTATAACATCAAAAAATGGTAAGTGAAGAAAATAAATTACAGTGCATAACAGCCGCGATGTGTTCTTACGTTATAAGAGTGGTGAATTACGAATCGGAATATCGCAATTTCACGGAAAATAGCTCTCCAGTGACCGGTGCCGCCATATTTCGCACAACCCACAGTCGAGTTTGCACGCCTTTTCGTAAAAATCGTTGTCACCGTTCAGTGATTTGATGCCACGTGTTGTGTTTTCGAGTACATGATCGCGGAGATGTCTACCAGTGCCGAGATGACGAGTGGACATTGCTACTCAATGGGCCGGTATTGGATTTCACGTACGTTTGAAAGGTTATTCCTGCAACGCCTTTTTTGACGAGCCCGAAGTGCCGTATGGGGCGATGGATGATTTTAAAGGGCTGGAGAGGCAGTTGTGGTGTTCAGATGAGTTATCAGTAGAGTGTAGCGCGCCGGGGGCAACGAACTTTACAGGGAATGCATCGTCGCGCAATCGCACTTGCGTTTGACCATATAAGGCGTAGTGATCGCGGCTGAGCTTGTCACATACATTTCGTGTCTATTTTGGGGCGAATAGGCGCGTCTGAATACCGCAGCCGGTGATACGTCATTATAAAAGTGAGCCGAGGGTATTGGCCGAGCAATGTCAAGGTCGTTATTCAATTCTATTGACGAAAATCTAGCTGTATCAGATATTTTATCAGGTACCTACGACACGCGAAATTAGCCTTTATTGCTGGTCAATAAGATCCATAGAGATGGCATAAAGCCAATCCCGGTAACGAGAATCACGCTGAATTAATGGATTAATGTTCTTATCACCAGTTTTCCTGCTAGTAATGCGGCTCATTGGCTGAAACGATAAAACAGGCAGTGAATTCAAATCTACACATGACAAGGAAAATATTCCATGAAGCAGCAAACTATAATTAGTTCAAAACTCATAGTTTATTGTCCACAATGAGCAGTTCCTTCCTGAAATCACAATTAAATTGTATGAATAATTCAAAATATCAAGTCATCAAATATGACTAATTGTATTGGTATGACACAAATGAGACAAACTTGAACTTGTGACTAATACACAAACCTTTAAAATTAACAATTACCCACATACAAAACCGAATATACATCAATTTATGTCAAAGATCACACCCACATACCTATTAGCAAATGCAATAAAACAAAATAACAGTTAATTTCAATTTATCTCCACAGATAATTAATTCTCATTAGTGACTTTGTTCGTACAATATGTTGACCCCAAGTAACTGGACAAAACAAGATCATATTTTTATAAAAACAGCTGTAATGACTCTTTAAAACATGGTAAAATTATGTGCGCAGTGTACAATATCATTCTATTAAGACTACCAACTCATTCTTATAAGAGACTACTAAAATCTCAGTAGTGAGCAATAGGCTCATCCCCTATTACATGGGACTCAACATAAATAGTGAAAAGTGGGTGTTACATTGTACAGTGGCATAATGTGCACCTCTGCCTACCCCTTCTGGGATAAAAAGCGTGATGTTATGTGTTAACATCTAAGATGATTCTATTAGAGACCTAAAATACGAGTGTCATCAGAAAATCAATTACTTTTATAAATAACTAGCAGTCTGTACCGGCTTCGCACGGGGTAGAAAGTTACTCGGGGATAATGTAGCTTTCCAGAGGTGAAAGAATTTTTTAAATCGGTCCAGTAGTTTCGGAGCCTATTCATTACAAACAAACAAACAAACAAATCTTTCCTCTTTATAATATTAGTATAGACTAGTATTTCTTTTCTCTTTTTTATTTAAATTATAATTATATTTGTGAACAGGTTGCAAAGTAGCATGCTTACACATCTAAGCTAGATGTAGCCGGCATTTCCTATCTGACTACAATGAGAAGAATTATTTTTGCTATGTAACTTGTAGTTAGATTTGTCATACTAAATTATGCAGACAAAGTTGCTTCTCCACCATTTTTCTCTCCCATGATACATAAGTCAGTCTATCTCACTCATCTAATACTCCAGTACATGTCAGCGCCCCTGTTTACAAGTCACAGACCCTGCCATTGATTTTAGTTTATAATCAACACAGCTGTCCTTTTTTGTACAACCATGGGGTGGGGTAAACTCAATGACTTGCAAGTTTCGAGTTCAAATTGAAATAAATGTTTATGCTGCTTTTGTTTTGAATCTCTGTTTGTTAATGAAATAGTTTACTGTAGTGTTTTCTGTATAAATAGCATAATTATGTTCTCTTTTTCTGATCTCATTCTGCTTTCAACCTCTGTCTGTTACTTGTTTCATCTTTTACCAGACCTTATGATAATTTTGATTATTGAGCATATACTACCATTCAGTCCTTCAATTCAGTGCCTTTTTGCTCACACAGCCAGTTCATTCGTTAATTTTTCAATTCAGTAACCAAAAGCTTATAGCTGTGAGCTAAACATTAATGAGACCCCATCCAAATATAGATAAAAAAATAACAAAAACGTTTTGAGATGTGTCAATCCAAAGATACATGTTAAGTTTGTAAACTCATAACATAATTTGTTGTTACCAACTTATTATAGTAACAATACACCAAAAGAACAAAATAGGTAGTAAAACAAAACATCAAGCATAATCTGTTTAAACCATGTATGGAAAAGCTTGTAAATAAACCTTTTAACTCCATTGATATTAATGAAGTTTCTCTGACCATATACAGGCACTTTATCTGTAAAAACTCGAAACGTGAGTCACATTTCATCTTGTGAGTCATACCGTAATGTTAGACCATCTTAGTCTAGACTTTCTCTATATGCGATGTATTTATACTAGATTTATTATAGCTAGAACAGATGTTGGTCACAAATGGTCTTGTCGTCGTCTGTGATCTTTGGATGATGCACTTGTCTATCAAAATTGTACGTAAATTATAGTACTTTGCAAACATGGAAACGAAAAAAATAATAAGTCTGAAAAGGCGACGACCTCTCGCATTTTTTTACCATCTCAAGCAAGGCACGATCTTACTCAACTCGTAATTTTGTAGCTTTCACGACTTTTATTAAAACCTACAATGCTTTTGTAGTCTTTTCTCTCTGACTATTAAAACATGAAGTTTCGTAGTACCGCAGTCGTGTTATCCGCCTTTGTAATGACTAGACTGTTTCCAAGACTTGCTTGTTTCCATGAATTTGGATCTTATCGTTCCGAGAACATAATGTGATACAAAACATTTCCTTTGTTCGTATTCAATTAGTCAGACCTATGTCTACATGGAGGCTTTAATCTATTAGCTGAATGTAATCTTGTTAATGGTCTATATCTCCGAATCTTACTCGATTCTAATCTGAAAAGCATTTTCTATTCGTTGCCGAAAATTTGAATCAGTTTAACATGTTTCTTTGTCCATTTCAAAGAGGTATTTAGCTTAAAATATTATGTAACTCTTATCAATAGCTTATTGATTGTATCGTTCTTAATGTAATTCATGATAATTTGACATTGGTATCCATGATAACTAGTTATCCGCTAAAATCGTGGTTTCGAGTCAAATAAACGTGATCATTTACTGTCTAACTGTGCCGCAATGCATCAAATATTCTTTTCAATTGTTGCCTCTGAGTATATTTTGATCTTTGGACGTGACCACCGCAAGTTGTGATCGTCATAATTATTCAAGGAGTATTGACCGAAAAACTATAAAAACGAGTTACCCTATTACTGGTTTTAAGTCGTAATATTATGGCCTATTAAAGATTTAATTAAATGTGGAATATTCCTATTAAAATATTTGAGTTCATAAGTGCTGAAGTTAAAAGCCTCGCGTAGGTGATATTATAAAACGTATAAGCGTAATGTAGGACCTTTAATTCTCGCTAATGAGAAGAAATACGTAAGCTTCTCTATCTGGTTGTTTTTAACCGGTTTTTAGGCTCAAAGTCTCATAATGATAATTAATAGAACCACGTTGTAAGATGTAAAAGAAGTATTCTATCTCCAAAATCATAGTTGGAAAGATTAAATTTCATATTAAAGATACTTTGCATAACGACATCTAGTTATAGTACAGATGTCAAGCAACCGACAACGGACAATGGTTACGAGTACAATGAATCGCAAATACCTATTCCGTCCCCTGCCAAAACTCCCCTTTTCGTCCCCTAATCAACGAGGGTGATGCTGTCCTTTAGGACGAAGCGAATATTGGAGCCCTGCTGCTTGTAAAAATCAAATTTTAAATATTGAAATGGCTATTTTATGCCTTTTATAGCTTTTAAAACAGGCAATCGATTCGTGCTACTCATATTTGTGATACAATGAATAATTTCTTCGTAATCGATATCCTAGGCTATCGAACTCATTCGAAATCTAATATTTGAGTCCTTTTTACTATAAAGTCCGTTTTGCTAATGAATTACGAACCTAGTCCAGTCAACTGTAAAGTTACTCATCAGTACATTCGCAACTCACCTGAGTCAGCCAATGACGCATACTTAACCGACTGACATTAAGGTCGTTGACCTTCACAGCAGTTTTTTTATAGGACAATGTCGCCCGCGTTGTTACTTATGCGTGCGTAATGAGACAGACTGAAAGGAGTCTGGTTGGAGTAACCAAATCTAAATAAAGAGGTGCGATTACTGTACAGAAGGACGACTCAAAAAGCTTTTTGATGTCACTTAAAACACTATTGTCTGCTTTACGTGTGACGTAAATAAAGTATCGATTTTCTCAGACCACGGTTATTTTAGTTTTTCCTTCAAAGTCGTTTTAGTGCTCTTCTAATAGAAGGCCTCATTTTCCCTTTACAAACATTTCTTTGTATTTCTAAAATTACTATTCGGAAAGTTACTTTCCTCTACCTACTAAAATAAGTGCCACACTTATTTTAAAACTATATTACCATTCCTGTTTATGTTTTGCCAACCGCTATAGCCCAGTATGAATGCGGATAAATATTATTTCATGTGGTTTTCCTAATTTTAGAAATTGAATTATTGTAGGTATGCAATCGGAGGTCCAAAGTTA